TCCCCCCCCCCTTCCCAGCCGTGTTTTATCAGCCGGTTTAGCAAACGCGCACTGTTCAGTCCTTTGTGCCATTAATGAAGATGCTGAATGGGGCTGGGCCCACACTCATACACAGCGCTACAATATTTTTTGCTAGCTGCTCCCTAAATAAGGCTTTTTCTGTTGGGTTTACGCCCATTTTATAGCAGTTTCAGCTTGCAGATTTTCCTGCCTTGAGGATGTCGTGCTTTGGTTGGGATGTCTGCTGCTTTTCTATTGATAAAGCTTGCTCCCCTGTCATGGGGGAAAATTAAATTGGTTTAACCTGACCTTTTCTTGTCTTTTGGGGTTTTTTCCTTTGTTTTTTTACGTATGCACATGTGTACGTGAAAAGTGGCACCTGCTTGCTCTGAGGAGGGTCAGGAGTTCCCGGAGAGGTAGGGAGAGTTCCCCATCGCAGCTGAGGAGAGGTATCCCCAAAATACCAAATCCTGCCAGGGGAACAAGGACGTCGTCGGGCTACTTCTGCGTAACTAGGCACGGGACAGCCAGACACCTCCAGAACATCGCTCACCGGTGCGTGTCACCTCGCTCGCTGTTTCTTTTGCTGGAGGAGAGGAGAAGCAGCTCCTCTGTCGGGCAGGGAGGAAGGCTCAGCTCCTGCCTGCAGGCAGGGGGGGAGGTCGCCCCGCCGAGGGACGGGCTCCTTCGGCGGCGTTGCCTCCCCGCTCCAGCAGCGTCCTTCCCCCTGCACTGCTCTCGTCTGTCCCGTCACCACCTCCCGCTTGCATCTGGAGGGAGGAGGGCGATAGCTCCCGCCAAAGCACGCGTCCGCAGGTGCCTTTAGCGCTTGCGTGTCCTGGAACGCTTTGGAATAGGCTCACCCTGAGCATCAGCTTGTAAAAGAAGGTACAGGCTGCCCCTCCAGCTGACGCTGTTGGAACTGGGGAATAATAAGAAGCAAGCAGGCCGTCTGGTCTGGTCCCGCTCGCTGTGTGTGATGTTAAAAGGGCAGGGGGAATCACGTTATTCCGGGTGTCTGCTCCCCCTTTCAATAGCAGGGCTGGAAGGGCTGGATCAGAATTAGGTGACCGGACAAAAGCACACCTGGGTGACAAGTGTTCTTTTAAAAAGGGGGGAAAAAGAAGTAATAAATCTCCCAAGACCAAGCTAAGACAGGGCCAAAACTTCTTTCTAACGACACCTTTCCCAAGTGGTTCAATATTTCTGGAAAAAAAAAGTGTTCTGATCAGAAATAGAACTGAGATTTTTTTTTTTACGACCTCAAGAGTTGGGTTTTCCGAACAAAATTCCGGCCCTCCACCAGACTTTTGGATCTTCCTTACGTGTTCTGCTACACTGCCGCGATAGCCTGATGTAGTATTGAGACGACGGAAAGCTCAGCTTCACGTCTTGCACCAGAAAAGGAGTAAGCGTAACCTCCATGTCCAGGTGTTCGTAGCTTTTTTCCTATGCTTCATCTGTTTTTTAACATTGATCCTCTTCTTCCCAGTCTGTGTTACAGAGGCTTTGATTTACTTGAATTACGAAAGGGATTTCTTACCCTGTGATTGGTGGCAGTTTGAGGATTTCAGTTTATTTTAGATTTGAGTGACATGGCAGACGTACGTCCAAACTTGAAAGTAAATTCAGAGTTTGTCCCTGCGCTGCTTGTCCTGTTTGCCTGACGAGCAGGGATTGCTGAAGGACGTGTCGTAAAGAAGAAGATACCCGAGATGGAACGGGATTTTCTACACATCGTTTGTTGGGGCTTGCTTGTTTACGGTACAGCCGTGCAGTTACCGTTGCGTTTTTCTCAAATGGCTTCATGTTTGGCGTAATCGTATTGCCTGTTCGCAGGGAAATTTGAAGTTCGTTGTCCTGGCTGGGCGAGTCGCCCGGGAAGGGGCAGGGTGCCTCTGGGCGAGCTCCCAGGCCGCGGGTCCCTCGGCAAAACCTGCGTGAGGGTTATGAACCTCTGCAGAAGCGGTGTTCGCTGGCGTGGGCTGAGCCTTGCTCGCCTGTCTGGGCACGGCCACGGGCAAAGCAAGCAGTCTGCTGCCAGCTCGGAGGGCAGGTCTGCCTCGGGACACCGCTGCTCCTGTCCAGGTTGCTGTACGAGCAAACTGCGTCCGAGTTGGTGTTTCAGGTTGGGTCCCTCCGGTACGCGAACGGAGGGCTGTCCAAAGCTTTTGCTGACCGAGTATCTCCACGCTGCCGGTTCCCTGCCCTCTACTAACCAAGCAATATTCTCTTTCTCCATGCTCCCCCCTTCCCAGTTTTCCGCACTTATCCTCCTTAATCCTCCTCTTACCCTTCGGACGTGCAAGGAAATGGAGAACCGCCTGACCGTGTAAATGCTCCGAGATCGATGGGTGCGTTTGTAGCTGCTGCTTCCCGCCAGCTCGCCGGAACACGCTGGGATTATCCCAGAGACGTTGCTTCACGGCAGTCTGCTCCCCTTCCTCCCCGCACACCCGGATCTGCATTCGCGTTTTGGCTGCGGGTCCTCGTGATAGGCAGCAGCATAAAGGATGCCTTTCATACACCTCTCACGTGGAGGTTATATCAGGGATTAACTTTAATGCTCCAGATGTGGGCTGCAGAGAGCATTCCGATGTTATTAGAAAGGATGACATTTTCATTACCTCTCAACACCAGCTCTTTGAATAGCCGTGGGGCACATTCTGTGCTTCGTGACCGGAGCCTTTCGTTTTTAAGGATCACTTGAATAACCGAAAACTGGCTAATATCACTACAATAATGTGTAATTTCTCTAAATCGCTTTCTGCTGCAAGTGCAGGAAGCTTTTTTTTTACCGCAGCTGTGTTCTGAGCAACTTAAATAACACTCTTGATTTATCCTAGTGGTTTACAGAAATGCTGAGATCCAAAAATACTTTGATGCGCTACACTCTGTTCTCGAGTGGCTTTTAGGTGTTTTAAGTACATCTGAAGACTTTGGTGCATAACTTCTGCCTGAAGTGTTGAGGAAGCACCTTCCAGCACGCCCTTCCCTTCCCTTCCCTTCCCTTCCCTTCCCTTCCCTTCCCTTCCCTTCCCTTCCCTTCCCTTCCCTTCCCTTCCCTCGCAGCCGAGGAATTGCGCCCTCGCCAGAAGGTCGCGTTGCTGCGGGAATAACAAAGTGGTGCTTGTCGCAGTGGTGCTGGGGAGTTGTTCGGAGCCGGGATGTTTTTAATCCTCATATATTAGAATGAGAAAAACTCTATGGACTTACATTTCTTAAGGTGGAGTAGGCTTAGGAGTGTCGGGCTGTAGTATAAGGTGCGTGGGCCGGTAACTTGAACGTCTGCTTCAGGACTAGTGACCCCGTTTGCAGAGATTGTCGGCCCTGTCCTAGAAGTGTCGCACAGCTCATTGAGGAAGGCGTTTTCTGGAAAGGCTCTGAAGCCTTTGGGAAGTCATTTATTTACCTTCTGTGCCTTGCGGTCTCCTTTACTATAAGAAAATTGCCCCTTGTTTTCAGGTTAAGGATCAGGGTGCCTGCAGTGCCTGGAGCGTGCGTTGTCGCAGGCGTGCCAGCCACGGCAGCCTGCGTCGCGGACGCGTAGGGGGAGGTGGCACGTGCTGCAGCGAGAAGGCACCGAAACGGAGAATGGAGGGGCCTGGGCGTCCAGTTCAGTGCAGTGATAACTCATCTCCCACTGTCTGCTGATGGACACCTGCGTGGTTTTGTCTCCAAAGCGTTCCTGTTTTCATGAGTACGCAAGGCGATAGCAGTGGTGCTTCATCTGCATCGGGTATGCTGCTGAGCACATGGCTAATTGCTCTCAGAAACCATTTTATTCCCTGACTAAATAAAACATAAGCCCTCTGGGACTGCCTGGAGCGCGTGCTAAATGTCGGAGTCTCTTTTTGGTGGGATTCTTGAAAGAAGTTTTGTTGAAATATCTGTCTTTCCGTACCGTGCTCTGCGTTGAAAAGGCAAGGCAGGGTGCTGCAACAGCCCGGCTCCGCTCTCCTGGGGAGAAATGGAGGCAGGGGACGGATGTGGTGGCTGGAGAGGACTCGTACCGCTTGCCTTCAGACCGTAGAGAGAGGATCAGCAGAAGCCTCTGTCCCCATGTCTGTCAGTTTACGGAAGGGTTTCTCATTCCACATAGCATTTTTAGGAGGAGACGGGTTGGAAAGGACTACCACAGCGACAGAGCACTGGGTGTTGAAGCGAACAAGGGTAACTTGTGCCAGTTTCTGCTTTCTCAAGTTCACATGTAGCCTGTTAAGCTTTTCTCCAATTATCTACCCTTTGATTTTCAGATGGCTTTCGAAAGGTTGTCCACATTGAGCAGGGAGGACTGGTGAAGCCAGAGAAAGATGATACTGAATTCCAGCATCCGTACTTCATCCGAGGCCAGGAACATCTCCTGGAGAACATCAAGAGGAAAGTAACCAGCGTAAGTTTATACAACAGATCTTGCTCTAGACGAGCTCCTTAGAGGATTGAGCTGAAAAGCATCGGTGTGCTCTAGGGGTTGCTGGACGCTGGCGCCGTTGGTTATTGTTTCAGGCCAGCAGCTCCTCTGGCTGCCTCCCCCCTCACCCAGGTACCAGCTGCAGTGCCATCCCGCTGATCAGCTGGCTTCAGGTTCTTGGTACCAGTCCCTTTGGGTCCTGGGTCTTTTGCTCAGTGTTTTCAGCATCAGGTCCTTTATGGCACTGCTTGGGCCTTCCCACACCTCCCACACCACCAGCAGAGAACAGCCAGCACTCTGCCCCTGCAAGCCAGAGTGTTTCCAAGTTCAGTAAAACGGGGCACTACATTTTTCCTGTTTTTCTGGACAAGTAGCATCTGTTTGACCTTAGCTTGATGGAGGGAAGTTTGCTGTGTCCTCTGGAGAGATGGAAGAGCAACTGTGCCTTTCAGTAGGAGGGAGCTGAGCTGCAGTCTTTACTTAACGTGCTTCAAGGAATGAAAAATACGGACACGCGGTGTGTACACACGGACATGAAGATAGGGTAGATGTAGCAGTGGAAGGAGGAAAAGGAAGGATGAGATACCTGAATTGTTTTAAATGAGTTAACCTCCAGCATATCCCAAATACAGCGCATTTTCCCTTTAAGCTCTCAGATGTGCTTTACAACTGCCCCCGTTTCTTGCAACACAGAGTTGCGGTGCGTGTACTGAAGACATGGTATAGCAACAGTTGCTATCGGGAGCTCCAAAAACGCTTATGAACTTTCCAGGCTAATTTATTGGTCCTGAAGTGTGGGCTGGAGAAACATGTTTTTGTCATTCTTTTCCAAATATTAATCAAAGCAATGTGTAGAGAGAGTAGCTGGCTCCTCTCTCTATCCCAGGGTGCTCTCAAATAACCGTGAGCGCCATTTTCACCGAGGCATTTAGCTCCTCTAGACATTTTCGCAGTGGGCAAACGCGTTAGAAGGATGTGAGGAGATCTTAAAGATATATGGCCTGCTGGCAGGTGGAGTGGAGAGGAGCTGCTATTGAATAGGTGAGATGTGTTAACCCCTATAACGGCTGGCAGATTCATGGACTTCTCACGTGGTACGGCTCTCGTGAAACATGCCTAGGTGTCGTTTCTCGTGAGTGTTTTATCAGGAAAATAAAATCGTCTGCTCAGGGTCTTCTCCTCAGCTGCTGTAGCACTTGTAGTGGAAATGCTGGGGATGTCGAGCGACGGGCTGCTGCTCAGGGGTCTCTGGAGGAGGCTTACCGTTCCGCCTGCCGGCCTCTGCTGCAGTCAGCTCCGCTGCCCTTTTTCTCCTGATTTTCTTTCTCAAACCGGCTAATGACTTCCTTAATTGCTACGATACTCAGTTCGCTGCACGCAGCAGAGCCTTTTGCAAGCGCGCAAGAAGAACGTTTGTGTCCCGCCTTCGGTGCAGATGAGCTCCCTGCTCTTTGTGGCCGCGAAGTTTGAGTTCTGGGATTGTCGTAGATGAGAACGTCTCGGCCCGTTGGCTGCCTGAAGGTCTGCGTAGGCGAACAGCTCTTGGGCAGGCCTTCGCTTTTACCCGAGCACTGTGTTTCTGATCCAAAAAGATTTTTATTTTTTTTTAGGCTGCGACAGAGTTTGATGTTTTCACATAGCAATATGCTGGCAGAAAACTCGCTTTGTAGGCGGCTGGGTTTAGTCCCTCGACACAAGGCACTCAGGTGTGGATGCAGCGCTTGGCCTAGAGAGTGGGGGTGAATTATTTGCAGTATCAACTTTGAAGCTTAAATAACCGTTTTGTAGGAAGGAAACATCACTGACATCTTCCTTTCTGTCTCCAGGTATCCAGTATAAAGAATGAGGATATAAAGGTTCGGCAAGACAATGTCACCAAGTTACTGACTGACATCCAGGTGATGAAAGGAAAGCAGGAGAGCATGGACTCCAAGCTGATAGCCATGAAGCAGTATGTATGTGGGGAGGGGATGGCAGGAAACGCAGGAGAGTTTGCTCAGCGATTCCTTTCCTGAACACGTTATTTTTAAGACCTCATCGGAGAGAAGGCTGGCCGCTGCTTGCTTGCTCTCTGTTCCAGCTCCCAGTTGTCTCAGGAGTATGGCCTGGGCTGTAAGGGGCTTCTGCTTAGGGCAAGAAGGGGTGGTGGAGGGACCGTTTGAACACAATTAAAACCCATTAAAGACCTGGTGTCACAGCAGCCAGGCCCGCGACCCCAGACACGGTGTAAAGCTTCCTTGGAGTACAGCTCTGCTTCGAGGTATCAGCTGGAAAGGCTGTGAAGGCTTCAGGAGCTTCCTCCCTGCCGCGGGGGTTGCAATCTGAAATTTCAGTCAATGCACGGTGCTGGGGGTGGGTTTTTTTTTTTCCTCCCACAAAGCACAACTACTCTGTCTTGTCTACGCTGCACCAGGGTACTCAAGTCATTTGGGATCATGTCTGCTGTCCTGCTCTAATACTGTACTCTTCCTCCAGGCTCTTGACTTCTTGCCCCCGGTTAGATTCTCGCTGGACACCGCTCGCCCAGTATTGCTGTTGGGTTGGGAGGCAAAACGGGTGATCTTGACTCCCACTAGTAACTATTGCCTTACCTTTCGAGGTGATCGGGGCACTGTTGCTCACCCGTGCGTGCCTTTTTCCCATGGTGGTCATACAGAATTTCGTTAGTGTCACCTAATCAGAATCTTGTAACGGTGCACCGGGACCTGGCTGCCCTCCCGGACGGCAGGCTCTGCGGGAAATCTGCCAGTGGTAAGGCTCGCACTGAGGCTCCAGGTTGCCTTTCAGTTTAGACATGTTTAGAACATGGAGTGCGGGTGTCCGATGCCCTTAATCACCTTTATAAATCTTGATTTAAAGCTCTTATGAGGTTTTTTTTTTCCCTTGTTTACCTCCTCACAAAGTGGAGTGAGTCATACATTGGTGAAGTTTATTTTATGCCTGGCTTCTTCATCTCTGCCATTGTTTCTAAGGAATTGGGTTCTGGGTCTTACGGGAAACGGAGCGAGCAGCCCTCCGTTCTCGCTGGATGAAGCAGGAAGGCAGGGTGGGGATTTCGAAGGGACGCTTTCACAGTGGAAAAATATTTCCTCCGCACCGTGTTCCAAAGCCTCCCTTTTCTTGGATTTCATTGCTATATCTTGTGCTTGCAGACCACTTCCCTGCACCTCTGGTGTTCATGGGAGGGGAGAGAACCTGCTTCGTCTCCAAGGTCATTCTAGATGATTCTCTCCATCTTCTATGTGCCCCAGGTATGAGCGCCCAGCTTTACATCGAGGCTGTGCTTCTCCTCAGGCGCCTTGCGAGGGGAGAAGGAAAAGCAGATTGTCCTTCTCACCTGCTGGTAAACGGCGGCAGGGAGAAGATTTGTGCACCGCTATCCGTGCTGCCGTTTCACGGGTCTACAGGCAGCAGAGGCGGCTCTTTCTGTTTTCCCTTTCAAGTGAGCCAAGTGGCTTCCCTCGCACGGCGTCGAATGAAAACCTCACGTACAGCCAACCCCGAAGGACCAAAAAGCTGCCTTCACAGAGCGTTCCCAACACGCTTGTAGCCAGCTGCGCTCCTTTCCTGCGAAACAAACGGAAACGCGACCTTCGTTAGCCCTCCAGCAGTTGTACGAGTTGTGTCAGATGACTTGTCCGTCATGAGCCCGCTGTTAGCTCCACAGCAGGACAAACTTGTGTGTCCCTGGATCGGAAGCCGTTTTTTCCGCTTTCCTGGAAGCGCAATCAGCTGCCTAAAACAATTAGTTCGCCACGCACCATGATGCATCGTGTCCTTTGGCAGCTCCGGCCCCAGCCGTTACCACAAGTTCGTGCCGGAGGCTTCTGCTTTTGCGCGTTGGTTCTCTGTCGCTCGCAGGAAGAGCAGGCGACACCGGGAGCCACCTTTAAACCCAGCTGCCGGTCTTGTGGTCCCAGCACACGGTGCTCATCTGAATTTCCGTGGCTCTTGCAGTCCTGTGGCCTGTTTTGAGGTTAAGTCTCTAGGCTTGTACCCCTGTATTAAGGATGAGAGCGTTCACACATGCATTATGCGTCTCTAGGCTGCATTCTGGCTGCTCCATTGGCTCTCGCTAAAGCAAACATTAGCATTATTAATTATAAATGGTCTGTAAACCACTAGGTGGAGTGCCTACAGCGGTACTTTGAGCTCTACTGATAGCAGAGAACTGGCAACCTCTCTCAAAGCCAAGAAGCTTCCCTCCTCCCTTCAGGAAGCTAGTTATTGACCGATTAATAAAAAATCTGTTTTGCACTTTTTGGAAGGTTTATCAGATAAATAGGCTCCTGTAGGACAATCAAAATTAAACTATTTGTGTGCACTATGAGTGCTGCACAACGGCCTATTAGCAGGTCTTCATCTTGAGACTGCTGCCTGGAAGAGGCGCGGTACCAGATGAGCCCAAAGCGCCGTACCGGCTGCCGCGCGCGTGCTCCCGCGCTGTACCGCGCCTCGGCTCCGGCGCTCTGCCACAAGAGCTGGTTTGATTGCCAGCGCAACAGAAAACATCCCACAGAGAGAACTGGGGACCGGTGAGGGGGGCAGGTCGAGCGGAAGGGCTGGGAGCGCGGGAGCGGGCAGCGGGACCACCGCTCCTCAGCCCCGACCCGCTGCCGGGCTGAGCTGCCTGGGGGCACCCACCCCAAGCGGGTGCTGTGCGGGCTCAACACCCCGCTGCAAGCTCTCCAGAGCTTGGAATAGCATCGTCACCTCTTCTGGGCTGAACGTGCTCCATTCTTCCTGGCTGCTTCTCCATCCTTCACAGCCATTAGTAACGGGGTTTTTTGGTCTTCTGCAGGTTCTCCGTATCTCTCGGTAAACGCAGCTTTTGGGTCTGCATTTCATTATCTTCCGTTTCTCCCATCTCCGTTATTAGTACCGATCCCTGTGCTTGGATTGCTGTTCCGTTCCTGGAGGGCAGAGTTTTCAGCCATTTTCCATGTCTTCATTTTCTCAGGAACTTGTGGTTAAAAGTGCTCTTCTTCCTTCTTGAAGAACGCTACATCCAGTTCACTGAAGGTTAGTCTTTTCAGTTCTGAATCTGCGGTGTCCTTCAAAGCATCGGCTGGTTCTTATCATATCATAGTCGCTTGTTTTCTTGACAAGTTTTATAGATGTTCTTGAGGGCCTGCTGCTTGACATCATGTTGCGTCCAGGTGGACCTGGCAGTTAGGTTAACGGTTGGACTCGATGATCTCAGAGGTCTTTTCCAACCTTAATGATTCTATGATTCTGTGATCTCTACAGCAGCGTTGTTCCAGGTTCTTCTCCTTCCCCTTCGCCACACCAACATCAACAGTCAACCTCCTCTAGCATCTGCTCCGCTACGGTCATTTCGTAGGTGAAATGGTGTGGGTTAAGACCTTCAGCTTGTGTCTGTTGTGCTGCCGCTTCTCGATGAATCGCTACAGCTGGCAGCAGCCGGACTCCTGTTGGATTCCCGCCTTAACCGCGCCACAAAGCGCGCCGAGGTCTCTGTTGCAAATTCTGTGGGAATAATGGCTTTTACTCCTCCAGCGTGAAGGCTCGAAAGACGTTGATGGCTGAATACAGGAACCATTTGTATCCGCACGAGATGGAAGAGACTTCAGTCGCGACGCAGAACTTCCAGACGGACCTGCTGCTTCATCGGCTGTTCATGCAGACAACCGGCTGCTGGCTGTTGCCGCGCAGCCACCGGTGTGCGGGGGAATTGGGGAAAAAAACACCCATTCAGACTGCAACAGGCTCGGACTCGGGGAGGAGGAGCCCAGCTGTCAAAGAAACTCTGGCGCGTGTTGGTCTGTGAGGGAGACGATGAGTAACGGTGACCGCCTGAAGTTTTTCTAGACAGAAATACACAGTGTGGTTCAAACTGCCTTGCGCTGGCCTTGCACACCCTAACTTCTAGAAACAACCACCGAGCCTTCCAGCACCGGAGGGGATTAGCTGAAGTTACTTGTGTGAAGGGAACTTCAACTGAACGTCTGAGGTTTTTCCAGCCGTGAGTTAGGAGCAGGTTCATTCTGCTGTGAAAACGGGCTGGTTTTGTTTGGCTAAGCGCGAGATTGCTGCGAACGAAGAGTGGTAGCTCCGAAAATGAGCTTGCGATGGGACCAAAAGATGCTGCGTTCGTTCTCTTTTGATACTAACGGTTACGGGTAGGAGATCTCAGTTAACTGTTGGCTTTGTAAAAGACGTAGGTCCGACCACAACCAGAGGAGCGTGTCTTGGTCTTGTATCAGCAGTGTAAGAACGTTGAATTGTTGAGCAAACTTCAGGAACAGAAACACGAATGACTAAAGGGGTAGGAACTTGCTGCGTAACGAGTGACCGGAGGAGCTCAGCCGCCTTTGCTGACAAAGGGAGGTGAGCGAGCGCTGACGGAGGTGACTCCAGCCGGAGGAACGGTAGCTTCCCTATTTTTCATGCAGTAACAGAGGTGAGAATAGATGAAATCAGACTAGCAGTAAGATCTGTGCTCTTAAGTGAAAAGAAGTATTTGAATAATATGCGGAAGACTGCGGTTGATTCCTTCACCACTGAAAATGTGAATTCAAGATTCTCCGTTTCAGCCCCAGCTGCTGGTCTTGAAGCAGGGGTGAACGCACGTGAGTGCTACGGCTTGTGCCTCCAGGGCAGACGATCACAGCGTCCTGGGTATTTTTGGCTTGAAAGCCAAGATTTCAGTGTCTGGTGTCTTCCTAGTGCTCTTCCCCTTCCCCCTGGCCGAGAGGCCTGTCCCCATCTTACAGATTTTTGAGGAATCCAATCCCAAGACTCTTTTTCCCCATGAAAGCGGTATGTTGTAGGCACTAGCGTGAGCCGCCTGCAAACGTGACTTTGTTCTCCATGTTGAACTTGGCTCTGAGCAGACTTGCTCCTCCGCAGCAGAGACCTGCGTGGGAGTCACTCCTGTGCAATCCTGCTGGCTTCGGAGCGGAGACACCGGTGGAAACAGGGAGTTGT